ACCCATTACAAAGATAGCTTCCCCAATTATCACCTCTAATACCATTAGCTCACAGACATTTCCCCTTCCTCACCTCTAATATCATTAACTCACAGGCATTCACCTTCCTTCCCCCCCCCCCACATCCCCCTTCTGTTCTGTAATGTGATTTGTCCTTTTCATGTGTGTTCATTTTTTTTAAAATTGTATCCTTTGGTATATATGGTTGTGACTATTTTCTTCCATTATTTGATCTGAGGAAGTGGGTCTGGCCCACGAAAGCTCATCATCTAATAAACCATTTTGTTAGTCTTTAAAGTGCTACATAGTCCTGTATTTTGTTTCATGAAAAGGCTTGAGTGAGTGTATGGAGCCCAGCTGATAAATTGCATAGTGAAACAAGATTTGAATCACTGAAATCCTTGGGACTGTCATACTTCTGCAATTTTGTTGGCTTCAATGAGATTGCAAAGGTTTAATTAAGAGCAACATTACACCTCCTGTGTGAGTCATTACTGGTCAGCAGTGTTTCTTAAGTGATCACTTTGCCTTCACAGTTGTGTGTGAATACGCTCACCTGAAAAATTAGTTACAACTCGGGAAAAAAAATGTACAGGTATCATTTCAACTTAACATGGATGCTGATTCTGTTAATATTTTTTTAAATGTTCAGTCTATCTTTTGTCATTTATTTGCTAGCTATTGTGATGAGTGGGAGCCACTTAAGGAACCTGAGAGCATATAATTACTGTGCATGTGAATAGGCAAATACATAGAAGGATGTATATCCTTCACATTTATCTTAATATCGGCAAAATAAATATTTGTGCTTTTATATTAAGAAAATTCCAGAAAACCAAAAAAGGCATATAAATCCACTCTAAGACCAAAAATAACCTGTAAGAAAGTTATTAAACATCATTGTGCAAAGATGAATCAACACAGCCACACAGTAATAAGTAGTTATTCCCAAACTACGAAACAAGAAATCAAAACATTGAATGGTATACTCCATTTTATAGTTTATATATTATGCACTATGGAACAAATCTGGTTTTGTTATGCTATTGAAATCAGTGGAATTATTCTGGATTTACACTCACAACATTCAG